ACCGACCCAGCCCTCTCGGCGCCCGCATCCTCCAAGGACCGGCCAGGGCTGCTTTCTGCCCTTGCTATAGGGCGCATGAGGGTTGGGGGGTCGGGGCGCACCCAGGCCGGCACCCAGGCCTGCCCCGCCCCCACGGGGTGAGGGCTCAGGGCTTTGTCAACAGCCTGTGGCCCCTGATCCCGCCCTGGTGCCCTGACCTTCCGCTGCCTTCTCTGGTTTCACAAAAACATCCCGGCTCCGATGCCGGAGCTCCTCAAAGCGTCTGAGAGGCCCCTTGCGGACGCCCTGGGAGCCCCGCTGCCTTCCTGAACCAGTGGCCGCTGCACCCATCCTGGGGGCCCAGCTCCAGGTCTGCGAGTCCCTCAGCCACCCCCAGTGGGAACTGGTGGAGCCTGAGGGAGCCATGAGCACACAAGAGTCACGTGTTCTGCCAGGGCGGACATGGGACAGGACAGGGGGTGCCAGCCCTGCAAAGGGGCCGGGGCAGTGGAGCTCAGGTGGCCCCAAGGCCTGGTGGTGGCTGGTGTGGCCCGGCAGGCGGCTGTGGGAGGGAGGAAGGGGGTGGTGTGCGGTGGAGGGGCTAGGAAAGGCGGGCAGGGCACCTCGGGAGACCCCTCACTGGGCACCTCGGGAACCCCCCCGGCATTGGGCACCTCGGGAACCCCCCGCATTGGGCACCTCGGGAACCCCCCGCATTGGGCACCTCGGGAACCCCTCCCCTAATTCTTATGACTCCAAGGCCTGAGAAGGAGCTTGGTCACCTGGACTGTGAAGGCCGAGGGTGGGGTCTCTGGTGGGTGGCCCCACCTACCAGCAGCGTCGCCAGCAGGGTAATAAGGGGCACTGTGGCCATGGGGAGCCCCGGGTGGCACCTCCACAGCTGGGAGTTTCTGTCCACTTCTTCAGTCAACAGATATTGATCCCGGGCTGACGGGGGCCCGGGGTTGTCAGTGTCTCCTGTCAGGGGAGAGGGCTGGGTGAGATCATCAGAGGAGCCTCCCTTCTTCCCTTCAGGCTGGTGTCACCTTCAGTGACGGGGCAGGGTCCCTATTTGGGAAGTTAAATCATCATCCCCCTCCCAGGACCACAGCGGTCTCAGCCCTGCTCTCCAGGCCAGGCTGTCTCCTGGGTGCTCAGCTGGAAATTGGCCCATCCCCCCGGCTGCACCCACCCCTGCTGGGATAAGGGGCTGGAGTCTCCCTACCCACATGGCACCCACCGCCCGCAGGGAACGGAGGACCCCCACACTTCTACACCTCCTGCCTCACTATCAGAGACCCAGTGGAGAATTGCCCCCCACCCCACCTCTTGTATTCAGAGGTCCTGACCCCTAGGGACCAGGACTAGGGGTGCCCTGATGGGGAGCCCACCTGTGGCCTGTGGATGCTGAGCTGTCGGGGGAATCCTCCAGGATCCCCAGCCCCACTTTCCCAACCTTCTGTTGAGGTTGGGGGGGACACAGAGAGCCCCACTCCCTCTTCCTCCCCACTCCTGGGCCCTGACTGCTTCAAAGAAAGGCCTGGGGGACTGGGCAGCCCGCCCCTCCCTCAGCTCACTGGGGTCTCCAGACTGCATGCACGGCTGGAAGGTGGGGCCCTGGCACTCAAGGACCTTGTGTGTGGAGGCGCCATCTCCTCTCGCACTGGCTTGGGGGTGCTCCCAGTGGCTCTGGGGTCAACATGGCGGTCATTGAATGGCTCCTGTTTCTCTGGCAGAGTTGGGGCAGAGCCAGGCTTGGCCACGCTGGGCTCTAAGGGGCTGTCATTTTGCCCAGGGAGCTGCTGGCTGGGCTGTCCTCTCCCCAGGGTGAGCACGCATGCCCCTAACCCCCACTGCAGGGCCCCCAGGCAGGGAACAGCTTATCAGCCAGTGTCCTTCCTCCTTGGCCCCTGCCTGCATCTCCACCATCCGCCCTGCTCCAGCTGCCGTTTGTCTTTCTCCCCGTCCGCTGCCCAGAGCCCCAGGCCTCCCCTGCACCCCTGAGCCTGCCCACCTAGCAGTGCCCCTCCTCCAGGGCCCCTCGGGGTTGGGGGTGCACACAGCAGGGAGAGGCGGCTCCTGCTGCTCCTCACCCAGCCCAGCTCAGTGGCCAGAGCCGCCCAGGGCAGTGGCAGCAGATGGGGCTGTTTGATCAGAATCAGGAAAAATAAGGCCCCTTGGGTGACCCCAGAGCTGGGGACACCAAAACTGCTCCTCCTCCCCCACCCTCCTGCTGCTTTCTCCACCAGGGAGAGCCCCCTCCCTACTCCGTGGGTCCTTCGCCCCAGTGCTAAGCCTGCATGGCTGCTCACCTGGCTCAGGGACTGGGGATCAGCGATGCACGGGTCCTGCCTCCCATCGGCCCCTACCTGAGCCCAGGGTCCAAGGGCTGCGGTTGGGAGCCCCTTAGCAGGCTGTGACGCAGGTGCCTGTCCCTATCATTCAGCTGTCACCCTGTTTGGTGCATCTCAGGCCCTGTTAGCAGGAGGAGCCCCAGGTGGTGCTGGCCCCACGCAGGCTCACCCAGCAGCTGCCTGGAGGAGGCTAAAATCCAGGCTGTCCCATGGCAGCCAGCTGTCCAGCCCTGCCCGGAAATCCTCCGCTCCAGCGGCAGCCTTCGCCCTTCTCCTCGCCCCTCTCCCCGGCTTCTTCCTGGCACTGCCTTCCAGCTGGCCGGCCCTCCATCTGCCCAGCCCTCCGTCCACACCTCTTATTCCGTTTGAGGGTGCCCCAAAGAAGAGCTCATCGCAGCCTGGGGGCTCATAGCCAGCCACTCGCGGGCCCTGGCACTTGCACACGGGCCCCACGGGAAGACCCTCCCTGCTTCTCCCACAGAATTCAGTTGGTGCAGAAACTGGGCTCTGCAGCAATGAAAGGCCGATTTGTGGAGCTGTTCCCGTCCCGAACTCCCAGCTCAGATGCTGGCTCTGGCCTGGGACCAGGTGCTGTGACTCCCACAGCCCTGGCAGACACCACAGGGGCTGTCCTCCCCACCCTGTGCCCCTACTCTAGGCCAGCTCCTCCTCCGAGCCGGCGCTGGCAGTGCTAATCTCAAAGGAATGTGCAGCCAGCCTGTAGTGTCCCATGGGACCCAGGAAGCCCAACCGAGCCTTGCATGGCACCCATGGGGCACCTAGGCACCACAGTGTTGGGCAGGGGCATGCATGTGACACAGATCCCCGAGTGTGGGTCCCACACACTTGGCCTGGCACAGCTGCAAGCCAGCCCAGCCACTTTGCTCACTGTGGCACTGGGGCCAAGTGATGGAAGGTCTGGGCACCGCCACCCTCAGGCTCGGCACGTTGGCTCAGGTCAGCCTGGCAAGCCAACTTTCCCAGGGGCTAAGAATAGGTGAGGAGGATGGTGAGGACCGGAACCGACGGGGGGCTGTCAACTGAGGGAGAAGGTCAGCATCTGGGGAGGCTGGTCCCCTGCCAAGAGCATTGGGTCACCCGGCAGGAGGGTGGCTGCCAACAGCACTGAGACAAGGGGCTCTGGGACCCTCAGAGCTGTCAGCCAGCCAGCGCTGGGTGGCAGGAAAGCCAGCTCCACTTCCTACTGGCAAGGAGTGACTCCTGCTGGGGTCTCCTCCCTCCCAGCTCCCTCTTTTTTTTTTTTTTTTTTTTTGAGACAGAGTCTCTCACTCTGTCTGCCAGGCTGGAGTGCAGTGGCTCCGTCTTGGCTCATTACAAGCTCTGCCTCCCGGGTTCACGCCATTCTCCTGCCTCAGACTCCCGAGTAACTGGGACTACAGGCGCCCGCTACCATGCCCGGCTAATTTTTTTATTTTTAGTAGAGACATGGTTTCAACTATGTTAGCCAGGATGGTCTCGATCTCCTGACCTTGTGATCTGCCTGCCTTGACCTCCCAAAGTTCTGGGATTACAGGCGTGAGCCACCATGCCCAGCCCCCAGCTCCCTCTTTATCCGTAGGACTCTGAGGCTGAGAGGGGCAGCTTAAGGGGAGGGCCCCCCCACTGGCCAGGGCTCCCCAGGCTCTGCTGCTCTGCCACTCAGCTGCCCTCGGAGGAGCGCGCACACCCACCAGGACTGCCTTGCCCCAGCCGTACAGCCCCTGCCAGATGTGGGAGGCAGCTATCTGCCCAGAGGCATGCCCCCCTGTCAGCCACGTCGACCCCTGCTACTGTTGCTGCTGCTGCTGGCCTGCCAGGTGAGGACTCACAGCACCCTCAGCACCCAGGGGCCCTCCTGAGGACTGCACACTGATGGTTCTCTGCCTGCCTGCCTGCCTGCCTGGCTGTCCGTCTGCCTGCCTGTCCATCTGTCTGTCTGCCTGTCTGCCTGCCTGCCTG